ATAACATGTTCCGTGACTATATGACTCGAACGCTCGAACTGCTTTTAGAGTTACTAGGCAAGTTTCTTAGCCTGTATATTCGTCAGTCCAAAGAAAATAAAACTTTCAAGCAAGGGAGGTGTGAAGTTGTTCTGAGTACTGCACCCTCTACTTCCCGAAACCGGATGGTGTTCGAAAACTCTAAAAAAAAGTTCTAAGACTCTTTCGTATGTGTCTAGCATTTTATCTATCAAATGCACAAAACATTCCTATTCATGGAGCACGTAGTGAAGGTTTGGAAAAAATGAAAAATGTTTGAGAGTCAGACTGCACGTGAGCGAAACAAGAGGAGAGTATGTGATGAGCAGGCGTGGGCGGATACATTGGATTATAGCAAAGCGATTCCGTGCTTTCATTAGAAGGTAATCCGTTGACAACGACCACAGCCTGCTGGAATGCATAGCGGCAAATGGCGGCTGCTAAAGCAGCATGAAGACGCCCTCAGAGGAAATAGGACGCCTACTGGCGCATGACGCACTGCCGGTTCTCTATGAACGCTTGTTTTGACATATGACTTTCAACAAAACTTTTCTAGCCGCTTCCTCCACTGTTGAAACTGAAATGAGCCCAGCAGGTTGATTTGTACATTGCACTTTATGGTAGAAGTCATCTTGTATTTCGTATTCATCAAAGTTCGTCTCTCAAGGTTAAAGGCACCGTCCACCCTAAATTGAGGGTCTTGAGCTTTTGGCAGCTTTGATAGTAGGGCCCCCTATCAAGCCAATGTCCAAGTCGCGGCGCAAAATATCGTTTCGGAAGCGAAAAAATCGTCCCGGAATAGCGAAGATACACGAGAACCCCTAGACGGCACCGCCCTCCCCATCCATGCCCTCCCATTGGTGAGCGCCCATCCAATCACCGTTTCGGAAGGCCGACCTGCGGGTTTTCCGGAACAGGAATTGTCGGGGGTTTTCGCGGTTTCTCGACCTCATATTCGGAATCAGGGACATGAGAAGGCTCTGAAACGACAAAAACCTGGAAGTCGAAAATCTGGGTGGACGGTGCCTCTAAATCTACCTGCGGCAGCATGGTGAATGGCGTTTTTTGGAACATGGCATGACGTGCTTGTGGTGAAGTGCATTTATCCAGATTTTTGCATGGTGTTTACATGAGAACTTTGTGTCTTTAGATTTGGAGTGCTACAGCTGTGAGTTGGAGAGGGTATGGTCCACATAATCAACTATTCCAAGGTTCAAAGTAAAATAAGACACCTACTCGATAATCGGCTGGCACTACGCAAGTCACTCTGATAAGCTCGCACGCATTCAGTAGCCTTCGGCAACAATGCAGAGTGCTTTCGGCGCATGTCCGCAAATATTGAAGACGCCGAATTCTTTATCCTTTATCCTTCAACGCATGTCACTCGTCCTAATTTCCGTCAACTACGAGAAAGCCTTTAACAGCGGCATGAGTCAATCAAGGAGTGGACCCTGTTTACGTCAGGACACTAGACAATTGCTACAGGGACTGTACAACGATGATGCAGCTATTCCATTGTCTCATGAATATCCCAAGTAAGCAGGGGTTCCAACAAGAAGACACAATCCAAAGCTGTTCACAGCGGCCTTGTAGCTGATGAGGTCAGTGGACTGGAAGAAAGGTGGTATCCAAACTGATGGGAGGTTTCTTTCGAGCCCTTTTTCTGCGGGTAACATCGCTTGCTGTTAGGGCAGTATCAATGGAGCGCAGACAATGTAAAAGATTTGAGACTCAACAAAGTAGGGAAGAAGATCGGATCGCGTACGAATTGAAAGCAGACCAGGCTCAGTTCATGAAGAAGCCCTTTGTGAGAATGCGGAAATGGAATTAGAAGGATCTCCGTGCGGACACGCTTGTTGTGCATCTTGGCGTTCACTAAACAGAAGAAGGGTTTGAGGGGAGAGCTAAAATGGAGAAGAAGAGTAGGCCGAGTCGCCTTCGGGCTTTGAAAGAAACCATTGACTAACTGAAAGATTAGAAGCTTGCGCCTACCTGTTCGACTCAACCGTATGCACTTTATTAATCAGCTGAGGTGTGGGTTGATACCGTAACCACGCCAAAAGCTTTATAGGAACCAAGTACAGAGCGCTGAGCACGTTTGTCTCAAGTTGAACGACAAAAGCAACATCTCGTCGATTTTGAGGTTATAAACACGATGTCCCTTTTCGTATTTTAGCGGAATACGTCGTGATAGCGAATAGATGGGCCGGCCATATTATGAAAACAGGTGAGAGATGACCTACTTCGAAGAAATGGCCACCACAGACCGCACCACCAACCAGTCCCATGCAAGGACCTGTACCAGCAGTCACTGAAGAGGAAGTATGGTTAGCCATAAGAAGAACGAAGAATGGCAAAGCGACTGGTCCAGACGACTCACCAAGCGAGTTTTGGAAAATACGTGGACAATCCGGAGCCACATGGCTAACGAGTCTTCTCAATCAAGTCATAAGGAGCAAAAGTTTGCCTCGCGGCTGGTACACCAGCACGACGATCCCGATATGGAAGAACAAAGGAGACATAGCAGATTGCTCATCCTACCGACCAATCCGACTGATGAGCCACACTCTGAAAATCCTCGAGCGAGTGATCGAAACACGCCTTCGAGATATCATAGAGTTTCACCGAATCAGTGCGGATTTGTGAAAAGAGTAGGTACAACCGATGCAATCCACTCCGCCCGGGTAGTGATGGAGAAGTATAGAGAGAAGCAGAATTGCATGCAGCCTTCCTGGACGGAGAAAGCCTTTGATAAGGTGCCCCATGAAGTCTATGGTGGGCCCTGCGGAAACACAGGGTGCCAGAGGAGTACGTTCAGTAGATAAAGTTGATTTACTGCAACGCTTCAAGCCACGTGCAAATAGCTGCAGGGCAATCAAAAGAATTCCAAATCAAGGTTCGAGTACACCAAGGTTCAGTTCTCTTTCCCTTGCTCTTCATCACTGTGATGGACGCAGATGGAATCGCTCAAACGTGAAGCTGCTTTGACACTTCTCTACGCAGATGATGTGGTCTTGCTAGGAAGCACCAGGAAGGAGTTGCAAGACGAGGTACAGAAATGGAAAGACAGGTTAGAGTTGTATGGCCTGAAACATAACATCAGGAAGACAGAGTATATGGAAGTCAGGAAACAAACTCCTGGTACCATAAGCATCGATGGTGAAGAGCTAAAAAAAGGCAACGTCATACAAGTACCTGGGCACTCATATCTCAGCGGAGGATGGCTTACAAGAGAAGGTCGCAAGCAGGATGAACACAGCATGGATGAAATGGAGAGCCTTAACAGGAGTTCTGTGCGACAGAAGAATGCCAGTGCAACTTAGGTCTCTACTGTTCCGCACCGTCATCCGGCCAGCAGCACTGTATGGCAGTGAGTGCTAGCCATGTACGCGGAGTGAGAAGCGGAAGCTCAGTGTCATGAAAACAAGGATGCTACGATGGACCTTAGGAGTTACACTAAAGGATACATCTGCGATGACACTGTACGAGCACAAATGAAAGTAGCTCCAACTGCTTAGAAAATGCAGGAAAAAAGGTTACGATGGTATGAGCATGTGCGCAGAAGGGATGAAAGTCACATCACGAAGTCAGCCCTGGCTATGGAGGCGCCAGGCAAAAGACCCAGAGGTAGACCCAAGATGAGGTGGATGGACAGAATCAAGGCCGACCTGCGAGAACTTGGTATAGATGGATGACCTTGTCTCAGATAGGACGACATGGAGACGTCTGACAAGAAAAGCATGTGTTCTGCGTAAGCGGGACACATGCGAGAATAAAAAAAAGGCGAGAGATGGACCCTAAAAACACCAAGGTGAATCTCTCATGAAGCAAAACGCCCACGAGGATAACCTCAGATGAGATGAGCAGACGCTTTTCTGGATTAGATGGAAATTAGAAGGATCAATTGGAAATCATTTGCCTACGAATTTTGCACTTAGCTGGCGACGCAACTACCTGCGGATTATCAAAATGATCGCCAATCGCGAAAGCAAGAGGCACGGGACAATATAATTTTCTGGGCTGAGGTCTGCACGACACGCAAAGAGGGGCCATCTGAGCGATTGTTCTTTTACGTAAGACTTTGTCTATTTTTTGATGATACCATACTGGATTCCGAATGTTTGTCCCTTGAATGAGACCCCACGATATGTACACGTCATCTGAAACCGTGTTCTCTAAGAAAGAAAACATGCTCTTTTTTAGGGATCTTACGAGTTGCTTACGCTTTGTAAGATCCAATAAAAATATTGGTCTCGTAGTTTTTGAATTGGCTAACAGAAACAAAACTCGCTAAGACAAGATCTGCAGTCTGAATATTGCACCTATTCTGTAACGAGAAGAAGTTCATGATCAAACTCATGAGAATTACGCTTTTCAAAGATTACGCAAACCATGCCTGTCCTCCCATTTTTTATCATCTTGACTTTTTCCAGTTGAAAGAGTAAGTAATAAAAATTTTACAAATAACGATGAATTTCGCTGGGACTTCTTGATATTTTTGTAACTCAACTCAAAACACTAGGGTTTTTTTATTGATCAGTCTGTTTTGCTATATTCCAACTAACATTTTACTGTGTGCTACTCGTAATCGTAAATCTTTATTTAAACCCAAACAACTTCGTAAAAATAAACGGAAAAAGCGGGGTACTTCAAAAAAAAATCAAACTGTACATAGTATAGTATAGAAAATTACAACTTGGAAAGATACACAGGTCAAGACTTGGTTATCTCATTAATCCTTAATATCACAATGCATAACTAGCTCATCACTCGTTTCGTAACATCACGCTTTCGTTCCTATCTCTGTTACCTAAACTCAAGGAACCATCCTTTTCGACTGCATATGTTTGTGCAGCAGACTTTTGTGACTTCGTCGATTTGGTGTCCACTCGCGAAAACGACATGTGATCAGGGGCAAGGCATCTTGAAACAGTTTTTCTTCAAACTCGACCAAACCAGATTTCAAACACACCTTTTTACAATTTACAACGTTTCAGACCATGTTCGGCAAATCCGAAACTTTTTGATAAACAGCGACTTTACTATATAAGTCCTTCGATCAGCGAAAGTTCTAACTTGCGATTGTTAACTAGAACGCAATGGCATCGTACACACTTCTTCTGACGATGTTCGTCTTTCTCCTTTGCGTATGCGCCACGTCTGCTCAATGTAAGTCAGAGTATGATCACCTACTGTTCAACACTCTTGAATATTTTAGTGGGAATGGGCATGGGTATGTATCCGGGTATGATGGGAATGGGCTACGGCGGCTATGGAATGGGCTATGGTAGAAGACGACATCATCGCAGACGTATGGGTTACGGAATGGGCTACGGAGGCTACTGGTAGCAAAACTTTATGCCGTCAATATAATTGTTCGAATCATGGCTAATAAAGTGAATGAAAAAGTCAGCATTATGCGCATTCAGTAATCCTCTAGTAACAAACACAAATGGCCTAATTTTGCTCTGCATTTCCGTACATGTTTCCTTCTCATTAACAGACAGGTTTATTTGAAGACTGTGAGTGATTTTATATCACTTTGACGCTCCACTCCTATGAAGATGTCACTTAGATCATATAGCAGCAAATACCATTCACATCGTCAGTTTTTCCAAAATATCCCAATAAGCAATTTTTTTACAAAGACTTAATAATTTATCTTGATGCAAAAGCGCCAAGCAGAAGCGTATAATTTGTAAAAACTAGGGCAGCAAACTCCACTTATTTCATTCAGTTGCAATAAATTGACAGCAAGCACAAGAAAAATGGCAAGCTAAAAGTGCATCTTTGGAAAAAAATTCTGAGCAATTTTGTAGCAATTTTAAATACTGTAAAGAAAGGCATCAGATTCTTGTGAAAGCATCTGGACATCTGGATGACATCATCCGTTTCGATTTTATAAAGCATAATATGACAGGGCATGAGGATTCACGTCTGAGTATTCTCTTAGTTGTGTTGGAGTCAGTCAGTTGATATTCTATGTTTTTAGAAACACAGTTGTAATAACTACTCTCAGTGTGCAATAAAATAAGAAATCGGCCTCAAATGGTTCCGCTTTCCAAAGAAGAATAGGCTGACGTGCGCCGGCCATTCTAAGCATTCCTTGATAAAACAAAGATAGGGAAACTGTGACTGCAGATGTATAGCCAGAAGTCAATGGAGAAGTTTTCTCTCATATTCTATGCTATTTCTGCAATCGTTTGTTGTTTCTCTCCTTTGCCCGTAGTTGCCAGATTGATGAGATGCCGTTCACTGCATTTTTTAAACCGTTAACAAAGTTTGCGAAAACATCTCTTCCACTGGTGTAACTTTGTTCGGTGGTCACTTGAGACGGTGCAGTCGTTTTAATTAAATCATCATCGAGGTCAAAGTTTCGATAAATATTATGATAGTTTTTTATTCGAGCCTGAGGCATACGCATTCAAGAAAAATTCCTTTTGCTTCTGAACTGAGTTTATCACTAGTAGAGACTTGTGAAATTTCGCAGCAATAATTGTAATGCGTGTACATTCTGGTTCTCAGCGCAAGTTGTTATTTTCCTGTTAGCTTCCATAAAAATAAATGCAGAAAATAAATAGCCACCGGGGTCCGAGAATTATACAGAAAAACTTTCATGCGCTTGCTAACTTTGGCTGGGGATATTGAACATCATGCCTTATTACCCACCACAGGGGTTGGTCAGATAAAAATTGTCGCTTTACACGCTGTTCAGAGATGCATCTCGGTAGCATTGAAAGAAGACAGTCTTAAAGACTGCACCAGCAATTGTAATTGGACTACATTACTTAATTGAGAACTCATTTCTACGAATATAATTGGCGGAAATCAATTCCGGTTTTGGTTGTAAGAGGACTTTACTTGCCTTTCCAATTTCTTTGACATGATGATGAAATTGATTACGTAGTTATTACGTAGCGACTGCATTCGTTGGTACTGAAACATGCGCATCACATTCTTGTTTGTGATTCATTGCTGTAAATGAGCATCAAACAAAAAAATCAAAAGTGCTCTGCACATACGCCATACTTTATTTTCCTGAAGTGACTTTACAGCAGCCCATCACGAGTCGACGTCACTAATGTATGTGACTGAATTTTAACGACTCTGAATAGTAATACGGTGCTGGGCAATAGTTTCCAGCCACTTTGAAAATATTACTTTGTCAAAAAAATAGAACCAAATGATATGATGCGCAAATCACACCGTTTAAATCTGAGAAAAAAAACTAATCTCTTGCACAGAGAAGCAGCTTCAGGAAAATGGCGGAAATGGTAGCATCGAGGCCAGTTAAAACCTGAAGCCGTAATCTGCTAAACGTATCTGGAGAACTCCTCTCCAATACCTGAACTATAGATGCACCCTTAATTCCCGAGTGATGCGCAATCAGCATTCATCAAATTTTAGAAGAAAAACTTTACGGAACAATTTTGCTTGCGTGTCAGATAAGAGCAAAAATTGGATAAAACATCAGGTAGTAATCTGTTCGAAAATCCGTGTCAAGCTGCGCAGTAATTCGGAGTAACTAGATTTAACGCATAGTTTCATTTCTCAAGCTTGTTTTGCTGCTTGAGGAGTTGTTATGGGTGTCGAGAAGCCGCTTATAAAAGTTACGGTCATAATATCGTGATCCATCAACTCCACGAAGCCAAGTTTAGCTAAAAATGTGATTGTGGCTGGTCTACCGTGGCTTCGCTATATTGACCCGCAGCTAGAAACGATTACCATACTCGTGACTTAAGTGCCAAATAACCCCACCGCAACGGTCAGCGTGTCGAATAACCCCACTGTACCAAGTTTCGACAAGATTCTTGATATATGCTTAACTACCTATCCCTACAGTTTCACTTTTTTTTGCAACTTTGCAAAAAAAAGTAAAACTTGATCCACGATCAGGCATCATGCTTGTTGAAGGTACGAGTAAAATGTACCCAGAGGACTTTCTAGCTGCTCCCTTCTTCTGCACACTATTTCTCTTTCTCTGACCAAACTCGCAATCAGTTTAGTCGCGTAAGTTCTTGTTTGAAATGAACTACGCTGCTAAACTACTTGCGGAGTATCCCGTCATATCAGCCTCCCCATTCGGTTTGTTTCTGAATGATGGTGCTCGTTAACTTCAAGTTTAGCTGCACGTTTCGAACAGATTGCTATCAATCCAAGTTGCCGGAGAACACTGACAAGGAAACGGACTTTTGTGGATGGAATTATAAGCTGTTAAAGGCCACTGTTTTGCTAAGAAATTGTGTGTGTAAAGGGCAGACTTGGCAGAGCCATTCCTAGCTCAGTGCTAGACCAAAACATGCAGCTAGGTCATTTCATATGTCCTGTACCTAAATGTGAGCAAAAAGGGCAATGTACCTAATCTCGCAATTTTTGTGTACGATTTTTTCGCATTGGAGCTGGTCGTAACTTCGCTTACAAAGGCGCTCTGCAGATATGGAAAACAGATTTGAAATCAGCCTTCTAAGTTGCATCGAATGGTATGCAGCTTGTTTGGATTGGCCACTTCGACTTCTAACCATTCCCTTGTGAGATGTTCGACATTCCTATGAAAAGGTTGTATTAGGTTCTCAAGAAAATAACATCGTTTTTTTAGGTCTTTTTGGGTAAAATTGATATTATTCGAGAACTAGAGCATGTCCAAGGCCATGATTTCGTGGTTGAAGTTACGGAGCTTTGTGGTTTACAACGGCATATGTGGGAGGGGCCCAGTACTACTACTGGGGCGGAGCCATTTTCCATTTTCCAATTTTTTTTCTCGCTTTCTAAGCATGGAAAAAATATAGCAAGTGTACCGATGGATAATTGCATATGTCTTTTACATGCAGGTGTAAGAAAGAGGTTCGCAGAATTTTCTAGGGCGAAAATCCAATTTTTGGCATCACGAGCTGATCATATGTTCTGGCTCTGAACATTGCGTAAGCAACAACTTCTGCTAATGTTTAGAGGTCATCTAGTAGAGCTTCCTTTGCTCTATCGAATGGTACCCCCTCACATATCTTTTAGATTTGTATTATGGTTTTTCCATGAAAAGCGACATCATTTTCTTGACAACCTAATACAATCTGACGTTTAGTGGAGGTTTGTGAGTATGACACAAAAAGCATTACTTGGCATCCAAAATTCACATCACAGATCTACCTCATCTCGGATCCTGCGCACATTACGCACTAAAGTTTCGCTCAGCGGTCCACAGAATTTTCGGACCCAATGAAAACGTTGCCTTTACAAAGGTGAGCACTAGTGTAAATCACAGTGTTTTTCAGAAAACATGAATTGCTTTTGCCAGAGAAAAGCTTTTGCTTCTTACCTTTTGGAGTTTTGCGAGATGCCAAGAGAAAGTAATCAGTGGTAATTGCGCAGACTTTTCTTAGCGATAGCTGTTGTATATTTCCATTTTATTTCCATTACAAGTTCCATTTGATAGAGCAAAGCAACCTCTACGAAAGTCACGCAGATGCTCCCTGCATCAACCATTTATATGCACACATATCGCGTTTTTACAATGGCTGAAAACTGAAAATTTCAAATAGCCCAAAAATGCGGCAATACCGCCTTGTTTTTATGCTCAATTCGATATTACTCGCAAAGTAGCCTTTGGAGGAAGTGGAAATTCTATGATTGTAATTGCAAAGCTTTTTAATAGAACTACCTATCTCAGAATGGCTCAGCATTGCATATGTTATGGCATGCCAATTTTTATCTGCATTTCCTCAACTTCTGGCCGTGGAAAAAATACAGCAACTGCAATTTGAGTCTATGTGGATTTTATATGCCTACCAAATTAGAAGTCTGCAGGATTTTTTTTTGAAAGGAAATCTGATTTTTGGGTGTTTGAATTTTTTCGATTTGCTTTAGACTTCACAGGGAATATACTTTCTGCAATCGTTCTAATGCATTGATGTAGGAGGCTTTGCTCTTTCGAATAATAGTTTTTCAAAATTTCATATTTACAAACCCAACGCCTTATGCAACTTAATCAGAGTTTTGTATTAAATTTTCATTAATGAAAATTCTGGAAATAGAGGTGAAACTAATTGTTTTATCAATATTTTCATTTAGGTTTGTCAATCAACGATAGCTTGATCATGTGTACTGTACCAATAATTTCAGACTGTTGATTAGATACGTAATGGATTTTCTTCTAAGTGTGCCTCTCGCAGACCTAAGCGCAACGATTACTCGTTTTTGGGATATTTTTTCTTAGTTCACGTTGTTTTTTTTTTCAAAGCCGAATAGCGTATACGATAGCTGGCGCCATCGCGCACTAGAAACGCGTCCCAATCAGCCCCATGCGTCGCATCTAATTTTGGTGATTATAGAAAGAAATGGCTGAACTTTCTTAACTTGATATCTTGCATTGAAATAAACTGGTGTTGAAAAT